GTTGATTCTACAAATATAATATTTTCCCATCAGATTTAAACTATGGTCGAGCATTTCAAATCTCTCCAATGACAGATTGCATTTTTAATTTGCAGGAGAAAGAAAGTTTGAACGACTGCAGCCTAAACAAACATCCCTTGATGCAATTGCTGACCCTGGGACAATATATGGTAATGAACTTTCACACTCAAAACGTTCTTTGATAGCTAGCTACAAACATTTACTTCTTGACTTAGGGACTATATATGGGTACTGCCAGGTAAAGGAGCTGAATACCTCGTCGAGGAAGACGATAGATACCACATCGGGGTTCAAAACATGAATGGCGGGAATGTTATATTGACCATGAATGTTAATGTATCCGCAATGGTGTATGATACCTCCAAAGCCAAGAAGCTCTGCTCTACTGCAAACGGATTATGTAGATTGAGTCTCCTATTCCCTCACACACATTACCTAACTCTAATGACAACCAACAACGTAAGCCACGGCCATGTGTTACCTATCTCTGCGTGTGCGTGTGTGGATCTTCTTCAAATTAACTTGAAACTGTTCATAAAAATTGACCACAGGGAGTTCATGGGGACTGGTCAGTCGAAGTTTCTTTTGTGGCTCGTGTGCTTACATACATAGCACTTTTAGGTACGTTCAATAGCACTTAAACAGCTGTAGTGAAGTGGAGGTCTACTATATAATTGTCGCTTAAACTGCCTCCTTTTTCCACTCGTAGGATTTATTGTTGCTGTTATATTTCTAATACTGAGATATCTTGGAGCCTGTGGTGATGACCGCGATCAGAGCACTAATGTGATGTCAGACACATATCATACAAGTGTTGTGACTACATCACGCGAGGTCACTGAAACTGAGCCCATGTTGCCAGTGAAAACTAAGATATATGGGACAAATGAAGAGGAAGATGATGACGATAATGAATCAAGAGCATCTAGCACCTCTTCAGAGGAGTTATATGATGAAAAACTGTGCGTCATTTGCTACGATGAACTGCGCAACTGCTTCTTTATTCCTTGTGGCCATTGTGCTACTTGCTATGACTGTGCACAGAGGTACACAAATTTCAAGATGTTAATAAGATTTTAACCCATTAATAAATTCTAGGAGTTTCTCACTACGGTGCATTTTGCAGGATTATGGATGGCGACAGCAAAGTTTGTCCCATATGTCGGAGGCTTATTCACAAGCCACGAAGATTATTCCATAGTTAGGCGCGTAAGCACGAAATGATATTGATTATTGAACTAGAGGGATGTTGTAGATAGTGAGGAAAGCATGAGAAGAAATTAGGACGGTGATATTATCATCTTCGTTGTCTGCGATTCATTTTGTAGCTCAATGTATCCCATGGCTTTCGAATATTTTTTTGCATTAAGCTGCAGGATACGAGTTACTTTGATTTTGAGGTCTTGCAGATTTTATTGAGAAAAGAGAAATTCTTATCGTTGTGATGGATAACTCTTGTATTGTTAATTCTCGGTGAGTATTAGTCAGTTATAAAGTACTTGCGTATAATTGCAGATTGAAGTTCTTTCTTTCTTTACATTTGATTCATTTAACCTATGTGATAAAGCTCTTCAGAGATGTGGAGTGATGGTACATAAATAATTTAATATTGTTCACATTCGATCCGGAAGAACAAATTGAGCAGAAAGTACGAAATTAGTGATACTGAGTTTCTTCTCAGCTCATTCTGTTTAGATTTCCCCCCTCTATCATGATGTGGTTTGGCTTAATAATCATGAAACTGTTTGACGTTGAACATTTTCAGGATCTCAGCACCACTTTTAAGGTGACAGCCGCCCAATGATAATTATTGACCAGTAAACTGTCATAATGAATGACCTTGTTGCTTTAAAAATTGATTTCATTTAGCCACTGAAAAGCTTGTCTTCTTTGTTGCTACTGTTTGCTCTTCTTATCCTAATAAGTTCTTTGAAAGCTTTTGCTGCAAAAATTGACTGTATTCGTAATAAAGGAACATTAAACTGACGAGCCCCAATGCTGTTTCTCTTATCCAGTACAGATAATTACCCCCTCTTTCACAAAGACCTACTGTGTGCTAAAGCACAAACTAATGGTTCGTATAATTTGAGGTGGAAAAGTTGAGCGCAGACTGCTTTTCCTTCAACAAGATTAAAGACCTTGCTATGATTTGTTGAAAAAGTATGGTGCCCGCACAAAGAACAGGGAAGCTAATCTGAGATAGGAAAAAGAGATCTTCTCTTGAATCTGGGTTGAACTGAAATTAACTGCTCTAATATTGCAGTTTGATTGCTGGAATGAGGAGCTACCTATTAGCATGCATGAACTAATTTCCAGCACTAGAATTATAGTTAATCTGAATTCTCAAGTCGACATCGCAGCGAATTTTCCCGATCCGGAATGAAATGAATGTTAGCCAAGCAATCCAAATGTGAGTGGAGAACAAGTGTCGTTGTCTGTGGAGCCAAGTGACAAGAGCCTCTCAGCGGCAATTCAAAATTGAGAATTCGAGGAACTGTGAACGAATAAAGAAACGAGATATGTCATATGAGCAGGGAAGGTGAGAAGGGCAAGTGATTGAGAGAATCACTAAGCAGAACCGGTGAAAGTGGTGGAGCATGCTCACTTTCTTTCTTACATGAACAAATCCAATGTCTGCGGCTATGGTTGCAGATGCGACCGAGGAAGGATGCCAAAATCAGCTGTATCCAAACAGGAAGACGCTTGTGCTTTATTTTAAGATAAACACTCTACCTTGCCTCCAAATATTATTCTCATCGCCTTGTGTTGACTAAAACCACTTTCATAATCATGGCCCACAAAAGCCTTTCTCAATTCTAATTACTATCCTTTAGGCGCTTGTTCTGTGTTTTCTTAAGGACTCGTTTGTTTTAGTTTTTTCATAAAAAAATCGCTTATTTTATTTAGTAGAATACAATGATATTTGTTTAAATTTCTTAAATTCAGAATTTACACAAAAAAAATCACATTTTTAATTATCTTGAGAAGCTGCTTTAAATAATTTTTGAAAATAATCTAATATAGTAGTTGAAAAATATTATTATAAAAATACAAAATATGAAAAATATAATAAAATTTTAAAATAAATTATTTTTATAAGCCATAATTTACAAAGATATCATAAGTCTAAAAATAACTATGACAATCATTTTTTATTATTACACCCAACATAAAAAAATTTTTATATAAAATTTCTATAAAATAAAATTATTTTTATAAACATTTTAAATTATCTAAAATTAACTTATTTTTTTAACCTTGAATAAATAGGCTCCTAGTTTCTCTCTTTCTTTTCGGCCAAGGCACAGTAAAGTGGATGCCCAGTGCAGAGTTTTTGTCTTTTTTTTTTTTTTTTTTTTTGGGTTGGGTGAGTTGATCACTCCATTTTTTCTTCACTCCTTTTTCATCCACTTCCCCACTCTTCATTGCATACTTTAAAAAATCATTTAATAGATATTATCATTAATAATACCTTTAATTTAAAATTGACTTCTTGAATCAAAAGAGCGATAAAACTAAAGCTAAATGATTCCCCCTAAAAAAAGAATGGGTTAGGTTGGATACATATAGCTCCGTCAATATCTATGCTGCAGCTTCTTGTGGCAGACTCATCCAAGACAAACAAAGCAAATGAATTAAAGGCTTTTTCAAATATCTTGGATATCATCCAAGTACGGTGGCCGAGCTTATAAATATCTTGAAAGGACTTAACATCTGTTGGGCTGAAAAGTTGAACAAAGTTAATATATACTCTAATTTTATAAAGGCTATTTCATTTATCTGCAATGAATTCTCTATCAATCATTTACTTTATTGCCATTATCAATGATATCATAGATCTCATTTCATTAGACTAAATTGTTTCCTTTGATCATGCTTTTAGAAAAGTAAATACATGCGCTTATTAGTTGACCTATCAAGCCTCTACTAATAATTTTAATATACTTATTTTGGATTCTCTGTACCTGGATTGCAAGGATTTTTTTATATAATGACATGAATATTCACCTTGGATAACACAATTTACTTGTGGTCTTTCACTGAAAAAAAAAAAATGATATGAATGAGAAGATGGGAAAAGTGGAGGGAGGAAAAGTAGAGACTCCTCCCTGGTTGAGTTGGGCCTGCTTTTGATTTTGAAGAGGTTGAAGTTCCACTATTACCCTCATGTAGTAACGATTATCTTGTTTGTTTTGTAATCCACGTGGGTGACACACGCCACATTCAGATGGCTAAATGCGCAATGCAAGGGACGTCTATTTTGCTCTCGGTGGTAAAAACTGCTTGCTGGATTAGAGTCCCCACGGTTTTTTTTTTTTTTTTTTTGTGACCAGATCTAGCGGCTTATTTTAAAACCTTGTCGCTGGTTATGTGAAGCATTAAACTAAATTAATATTAATCGACAATATAAAATTATAATAAGGTATATTATTCACATAAAAATTGAAAATATATGAAAAATCACACGAAATTTGTAAAAAAACATGTAAACATACTCTCTTCATTCTAAATTACAAAATAAAATTGAGTATATTATTTATTTCAAAATATGAGATAATTTAAAAAAATATCATTTTATGAATAATATATTTTTAATATTATCTTTTAATAAAATAATATTATAACATAATGATTATATATGTTGAAATATTTTAAAATTTTATTTTTAAAAAGTAAGTTTATAAAATATCGTTCTTGTGTTTTATTGATATGGATAATTTATTTTTTACTTTACCTCATGATATATGAAATTCAAGAAAAATTGCATCATTCATTATTTATAAAAGTTGTGCCCCTTTTAATATTTTATTTTGCATTGATGATGACAAAGACATGATAATTGCTTTAAAAATTAGGTTATTTTTAGTTTTAAATATGTCTAATAAAATATAATGCACAAGAAAATTACCTAATTTGCGGAACACGGCATGCCTCCATCTTCCTCTTTTAATCTTCTTCCCGAGCACTCTGCACTAAACATGACTTTGATCATTTTATGGCAACATATATGGTAACACGCCACCAAAGCTTCTCCGAGTCACAAATTTAGCCCGTCATCCTTTACGTGTCGGGTTGCTATTGGGGCACTCCACGCCATTTGGTGATTCGGCTCCATGAGACGGTTATAAATTCTGCAATTCACGGCGGCAGCTGGTCGTCCACCTCCACCTCCACAGCCCTACAATATAACGCACGCCATAATTGCACACTGCTCCTTTCCAAACCTGCCGGAAATTTAAATTGAATAAACCTAGCATTTATAGACCTTTAATTTAAGCACTCTCCTCGCAGCTTGGCAATGACCCCGCACTCACGAGAAGATGAGTCTCCAGAAGACGACAAGGACGAAGAAGCCAACCGCTTGCTTCAACCCCAATCTGAATCCCAGACTTCGTCACTGGACGACGACGAGGCCGCTTATGAGGCAGGGGAGAAAATTCTCATAGTAGATTTAAACTCTATCGACGATAAGGATTCGACGACGGTGCCATCTTTCTCGTGGAAGAAGCTATGGCTATTCATGGGACCGGGTTTCTTGATGAGCATAGCTTTTCTGGATCCGGGAAATCTCGAAGGGGATCTCCAGTCTGGAGCCATTGCCGGCTACTCCCTGCTCTGGCTATTGATGTGGGCCACCATCATGGGTTTGATGATCCAGCTTCTTTCCGCAAGGATCGGGGTGGTCACAGGCCGGCACCTGGCGGAGCTGTGCAGAGACGAATATCCTACGTGGGCTAGGTTGGTGCTGTGGTTCATGGCCGAGCTGGCCTTGATTGGTGCTGATATTCAAGAGGTCATTGGGAGTGCCATCGCTATTCAAATTCTTAGCCATGGGGTATTGCCCCTTTGGGCGGGAGTCGTGATTACTGCTTCCGATTGGTAGGCTCTTGCATCTTTTATACTGTTTGGTCAAAAAGCTTATCCTTCTGCGGTTTCAAATCTCACAAGGCGTCATATTGTTTGTTTAAGTTCTGAGAACCGTGCTAATTACACAGCGATTTCTTGCCGGGTTTGAACTTCCAAATTAAACGGACTTTGGCCAGCAGTGAGTATCGTTGTTTATTTTAACGAAAAATGAGATTTTTATTATGGTAAGGCAAAAAGGAATATCACCAATATGTAGGGAATGAAGGCTCTTTATCCACAGATTTTTGGTCACGTTATATGCTGATTTGTACGGATCTAATGGAGCAACTGGTAATTGTAGTCGAAGATTCTGGATTCAGCTTAGACGTTATATATGCATTTGTGTAGGAGTTCACAATTCTTAATTCATTCCGTATGTTAAGAACTTAGAAGTACAACCATTAACGCTTGGAAGCTCAAAAGAATCCCCCGCCCAAAAAAAAGGGATGAAAGAAATTTTCAATTTCAGTGTCAAAATTAAGCATATAGACTTTAAAAATGAAATAGAGAAGACAATCTAAAGCAACATTTCTGATGATTGCAGCACTAGCAAAGGCTGTAAGGATGCCTAATTTTACACATGAAACACATGCCAAGAGTACAAATTTTGTTAAAGATCATAACCATCATGATTCAAGACTTCAACTCATAAAAAAGACATGAAAATGTAATTATTAAGGTCCTCTGAGTACAAATTTTCTTAAATGACTGCTAATCCATTTTGTAATACTTCTATCTCTGATATATCAAAAGTCTCTAGAACATATATCGGTGACAAGTCGAGCAACTGATCACGCCTTTCTCTAGGACTCATGTTTAAGTTCATATTCAATGTCCAAAATTTTCTGCTGTATCTTGCATCCTTTATAATGATATTATCGATTCTGTTCCAACCTCTCTCTTTCTCTTTCTACTTTGGTGGTTCTTCTTCTGTGATGGTTTTGTTAGAACATTGCTTATCTGCAACAACTTGGTGTGTTTATTTTCAAACTTCTCATCGGACCACATCTTATTTCTTTTAATTTAACTCTTTAATTATGGAATCCCTATGCCTTCCAATTGAGCTGCCTTAGCTCACCAAAAATTTTAAACATTGATCCTGCTTTGTAATTCATACAGTTTTAGATTCAGCGGTAACAACTAAAGGTGTATATGATTGTTGTAGTTCACAATTGAGTTTTTGTCGGAGAACCGTTATTTACCAGTTCTTCTCCTCTTAGATCAATTGTCCTTCCCTGGTTTCTATTTTCTGGCTCTAGTTTATATAAGTCTTGTGATCAATTGCTTGGGAACATCTTACTTTTTATGTCTAAATATGTCTAACTTTGGTTTGTTTTCTCTGTGCTGAACAGTTTTGTCTTTTTATTTCTTGAGAATTATGGAGTAAGGAAGCTGGAAGCTGTTTTTGCAGTTCTCATTGGGACAATGGCCATTTCTTTTGCCTGGATGTTTGGTGACACCAAACCTAGTGGAAAAGAACTCTTGATGGGTATTTATCTAATAATGGAGTGTGAATATGGCAAAAATATGTTTCTTCTGTATAATTGCTGCACCGTCCCCTGCGCTGTTCACAAAGAAAAGGATTTTACTGTTCTTGGTATGTTCATGGTATAACTATGTTTCATCCTTCCTGCAGGTATTTTAGTTCCAAGACTTAGCTCAAAAACAATACGCCAGGCTGTGGGGGTTGTGGGTTGTGTAATAATGCCTCACAACGTGTTCTTGCATTCTGCTTTGGTTCAGTCAAGGGAAGTTGATCTCCGTAAGAAAGGCCAGGTGCAGGAGGCTCTTAAATACTATACCATTGAGTCAACAGTTGCTCTTTCAGTCTCCTTCATCATTAACCTATTTGTCACAACAGTTTTTGCTAAGGGGTTTTACGGTTCAAAGCAGGCCAATAGCATAGGATTGGTTAATGCAGGGCAGTATCTTCAGGAAAAGTATGGAGGAGGGCTCTTCCCAATTCTTTATATATGGGGTATTGGGTTATTGGCAGCTGGACAGAGTAGCACCATTACTGGCACATATGCTGGGCAGTTCATTATGGGAGGTTTTCTCAACCTTCGGCTAAAGAAATGGTTAAGGGCATTAATCACTCGAAGTTGTGCAATTCTGCCAACTATGGTTGTTGCTATTATTTTTAATACATCCGAAGCATCATTGGACATTCTGAATGAGTGGCTGAATGTGCTTCAGTCAATGCAAATTCCGTTTGCACTTATCCCTCTGCTCACCTTGGTCTCTAAAGAGCAGGTCATGGGGACCTTTAGGATTGGACTTGTTCTTGAGGTGCGTATTTCTTGTCATTATTTGTTCATTTCATCCAATTTTTAAGATCTCTTGAGCAAGTTCCTGCATCCTTTGTTGTGTGAAGTTGTGTTTACATTTTTTTTTTTTGGAGAACTTGGTTTTAATAAGTTATAAGAGTCACAATGAATTGAATGTCAAAGAAAGGAGATAAAATCTTCCCTTTTAGATTGTTGTTCGCAGCCACCGTTAGGATTTTCAGGTGATTCTTTGTTTAGATAACAGTGCTGGGAGATCTTAATAATCAAATCTTGGAAACTATTATTATGTCTTTGGCTATATGCATTTATATAGATGGATCATAATGTTTGCATACACCGTTTGCTATGTGGAAATTATGTCTGTGTGATATGACCCATCTTGTTTTGCCAAAGCTCAAGTGTAATTGGTTCCAATTTTCCTCACCATTTTAGTTCATCCTTGAAGTTCTGTCTTTACTCGGTTGTGTTTGTTTGTCATGTTTAGTCTGGACTTTTATCTTGGGCTTGATCTATGTTACCCTTTCTGTTATTGTTTCAGTTTTTTTGTAATTAGGCATTGAAAATTGTTGTAAGTTTCTATCAAACATTGAGCTTAAGTGCTCTGATTATATTTAATTGGAAATCAACTGATTCTGCATGGTTAAAAATAAATTACTTGGAAAATGTGACTATTACTATAAAAATATCGATGCCAATCCAAAGGAGAAGTCTTTAGAGGTACTACTCTTCTGCCAAGATGTGCTCCTCAGATCATAAATGATTCCCTGTTATTTCATGTTCATGAGCTGCTTTAATGTCAGGTTATAGCGTTGCTTATTAACTCGGTAGTTCAGGAAACTGATTTTGGGCATTTAAAATCATCTTATTTTTGTTTATAATGTCCTTTCATCCTTTATTATTATTATTATTATTATTTTTTTTTTTTTGTAGAGGGTAGCGTGGACTATTGCTGCGCTGATAATGGTGATCAATGGCTATCTATTGTTAGATTTCTTCCTTTCGGAAGTGAACGGTCTGCTGTTTGGTTTTGTAGTATGCTCCTGCACAGCTGCTTATGTAGCATTCATTGTATATTTGATTTCCCTAAGTGGTGCTCTTCCTTTTTCTTGGGTTACTCTACTTGCCAAGAGATTTCCTTTTTCTGAGATTTGAGTCAAATTCATGCGTCATGAAAGAGACTGGAAAGAACTATTGCTGCAAACTCCTTCTAGACAATCTTACATGTGGACTTTTGCTTTTTACATCAAGAAGAATGCTTTGCAGTGTCTCCAGCCTTGGCACACGCACCAAGGGGAGCACGAGGTTGGACAATTGAGAACATTTTAGTCAACCGGACTTAACATTTTTTCAAGAGAGTTGCGCCGGTTACCTTCCATGTTGACAAGATGAGAATATCCTTTTCCTTGGAAGATGTGGACTGTGCAGCATTACAGCATTGCATGACTTATTCTTTTCATACAACATGTAAACTGCTTCAATATTCTTTGATGTAGACAAATTGTATGTAACAGTCAAAACAATGATTTCAAGAGGGGACAGAGTAGATTTTCCAAGCCGAGGGTGGCTGGGGAGAGCACAGAGATCAGTTGTAGGGGTTAGACGATATTCAACAAGGAGTAGGTTGCTTTGATTTTGTCTAAATTACTGTTGGTCATAATCTCATTGGTGCCATTCATCGGTTAGTGTGCACTCACAAGCGGGCTGCTAGAACTGAAAACTCTAACCGAAGTAACAGACTGACTCCGCCTACGATGGTGAACAAATTGAAGGCATGATGTGTTGTAATAATTGAATGATGTGTCAAAATGATAAATCCTAAATTGCTCACATAAAAGGAACTCCAAGGGTGTAAGTATCAAGAAATGAACATGGGTTAGTAAGTGAGTTTGCAAGAGAAGTAAGCTTGTCTACATAATATAAGCTAGTGTAGGGTAGTTGCAGTTAAAATTAGTTGATTCATCCTTTTAGGTGCAAGTTAATCTAGAACTGACAACCTTTAAATTTGGTTGTTTGAAATTCAAATGTGAATGTCATTAGTTTTTTGGTTTTATGGTAGTTCATGCTCGTGGCCCGTGCATGATTGTGTTTATGGTCTTTAATTTGGCATCTTAAGTGTCCAACGTTTGTGTTCGGATCATAGCCTATATAAAGGCTTGCATGTAGCAAGAGCAACTTGCACCAACCTTTGAGCTTTATATCTATTCCTCCTCCTCTCCAATCCTGCTTTGTTGTTGTGTTCATGAGTTTATTCTTACTAGTTTTTTTTATTCCGTGTTCTTGACTTATAGTATAGAATGAGTTTGTTTAATTTGAGTGAGCTGTCGTGCAACAATCAGTATGGCAAAATCGTGCTTAAAGATAATGTTTTTCGTCATGACTCATATTTAGAATTTCCACTTGTTGCCAACGAGATGGACGATGATGGTTAACAAATTGCTACTACCTTTTTGAACCATGATGTAGCTGATGTCTGCTTATTGTCTTCTATACTTCATTTTTTTAATAAAATAATAGTTAAAAAGATTATCTCTATCTTGAATTTTACATCATTTAAAATAATTTTTTAAAAAAATAAAAATTAACATGAACCTTCTAGATTTAATCTAAATGATTCAGATTTTGGTGCTCATCACCAATTTCTGCCCAACATGATCGGTTCTATCTCAGACCTTAATTGATTTCTAATATTCAATGTGCCATTTTTTTTCTTGGGCCAAATCAATGGGCCAATTAAATAGTAGGGGCACGGGTGGTACAGATATACTAATTCCTGACACAAGGGATACCAAATATTGCGGTCCTAACGTAAGTATGCAAATGATAAAGATACCTGATAAAGACAAATATTATATCTGATTAAACAATCAAAGCTAAACTCGAGTCAGCCTTTAAAAAAAAAAAAATTGAGTTTCCTCATTTGCACCTATGTTCTACTTTCCGCATGAAATTTGAAGTGTGAAATTAATATTAACTAGTGTCAGAATGAAATCGATTTTGACAAACATGTGGGTCTTTCTCTTGCAGGATAGGGTAGTGGAGCACATAACCGTAACCCACATGGGCCCTATTAGCGATTTTCCGGCTTTTAATATGACTCTTTTACTTTGCGAAAGATGGAGGCAGTGGCGGAACCTGTGTGTAATATGGGTCTCCAAACATTTACTCCGGTAATTTAAAAATATAAAATATTTTTAAAAAATTAAATATTTAAAAATATAATTTATTTTTAATTTTTTGAAGTTAATCATTACTTTTTTTAAAAAAATGTCTCTATTAATAATAACTTTATGTTATTATAGAGTATTTAATAAGAGTAAATATGAAAAGATAGAGTTAGTTGAAAAGTAGATAATCAATTTACTAAAAGGTGAGATTCGATAAAAATGTCTTATATTTTTTAACGAAGAGAGTAGTTTTATAAAAAACCTCGACCACCTATAATATTCCCTTTTCTTCTACTTATGGGATAAAAGAACATAGTTTTTTTTTTTTTTTCTAGTTTATAACTCATGTCATTAACATTTTTATTATAATTTTTTTATCTTTTATTATTCTTTCTGTTAAAAAATTTAAAGTATTTTTTATATTTTAAGGTATAATTATTATTTTTATAAAAGTGTCTATGATAAATAAATTACTTTATATTTATTTTAAAGCAAAATACTTTATTATATAAGAGTAAATATGAAAAGATAATGTTAATTTAAAGATAATTAATTACTTTATTATGGGGTGAGATTTGATTAAAATGCATTACATTTTTAAACCAAGAGAGTAAATATTAGTGAGAGAAGTATGCTATTGAAATATGCATATTTAATGTTACCAAAATAAAAGTAAGCATATTTAATAGAGATGAAATTAAAAACTTATTAAATTTTAATGAATTTAAAAAAAAATTAAATTTGATAAAGCATGTTGGACGTGATTTATGTGAGATCTGAAGATAATTTTTCTGTATTTTATTAAATAAGGAAAAATATGAAAAATAATATTAATTTAAAGACAAATATTTAACTTATTAAAATGTATAATTTAATTAAAAATATAATATATTTTTAATAAAGAGATTGTATTTAAAAAAAAGTTGCCCCCTATCAACCTAAAGCCTGGTTTTACCCTTGGATATAGGATGTATTTTAAATTATGATGTTATCATCCGTTTTTCTTTAATTAAAGTGTTAGCTAATTGTAACGTCTCATTTCGATTCATGTTATTTAGTTAAAAGTAGCAAAAATTTATATACTTAACCATATATATTTAAGATATTTATTTTTAATTAAATCAAAATAAGTGTATCTATTATAAATTATTTATTTTATAATAATTTTTTTTATTAATATTATTAACATATTAAAATTTACATGTCTTAATTAGATTGGATGAAAGTATATTAAATATATAAGTCTTACCTTTAAAAGTATATCTGTTATTAAGGATGAAAGGAAATATATTTAGGCTTAAATATTATTCCTCTATTTTTATTTATAAATTATTTTTAATATATTTAATTAATATTAAAAAAATATTAAAACTTATTTACTCTATTTTAAAATTTAATAAATTTTAAATTTTATTTTTATTAAATATATATATTTTGAAATTTAATAAAAATTTAATAATATGATTTATAAATATGATATAATTTTTTTAACCTTATGAATAGAATCAGAATAAGAATAACTTAAAGACTGTTGTGCGTGACAGCTTGTGGTGTTGGTCATCATAGACATTAGACTGCTTTCCCCAACCAGACCAATAAGAAAACCTTCACCTATTTTCCTTGGATTAAATTAAGGACGCCAAACAGTTCACATTATACATTCTTTAATAATTAAAAACAGAAAAAATGACATTAAAATCTATCTGAGATGGATAAATAATAATTTAATTTTTTAAAATGCAATACTTTTTTTAAAATTTTAAAATTTTTTTTATCATCAATAAATTTATATAAAATATTAAATTATTTTTGTTAAAAATAAATAATTCACAAATTTTATTTAAATATTCATAACTTTCCTTCTTATATTCACAACAATACAATAATAAGTTACAACTTTGCATATTAATTTTTTTATTTACTGTTGCATTGTTGCGAATATAAGAAAAAACTTATGAATAATTAAATAAAATTTATGAATAATTTATTTTTAAAAAATAATTTAATAATTTATATAAATTTATTGATGAGAGGAAAGCTTTTAGAGACTTTAAAAAAATTATAACATTTAAAAAAATTAAATTATTATTTATACATTTTAGTAAAATATAATTGTCATTTTTCCTTAAAAATACGATTATATAAATTTTTCATATTACATATATCAGTAGATTGAACTAGAATGAAAAATATAAAAAAAAATAAATAATAATGTAATGATTATCATCCTATACTGTATTTTCGTTTCCTCTCTCGTCACTTGCCGAAAAGCAGAAAACGCCAAGACTGACTAGAAGGTTCCGAAGTACTCAGGAAAGAAGGTTAATTGGCGTAAAAGGACAAGGTCATTGGCCCATTTTGCATTCGCTGCGTTTTTGGTTGGCAAGAAGATAAAAAAGAACTCCTAGTGTAAACAAAAAGATTGTGTAAACAAAAAGATTTTCTTCAACCATTTTCCAAAGCCTGCTTTGTTGGTTGGGAACCAGTTTTCTAATTTCTCTTGTTTATAAACTACTTTTAATATATTTATCACAATAAAAAAATTAAAACTCATTAATTCTATTTAAAAATTTAATAATTTTTAAATTTATTTTTATTAAATATATATTTTAATAATATATTTTCTCTCTTTTTTTAAAATTTAAACGAAAGTTAAGTAAAAAAATTTATAATAAAAAATTAATAAAGTAACTTGTAAATAAGATCAATAAATTTTTTTTTATCCTATAAATGTGATTAAAGGGAGTAAACTAGTGGGAGTAACTTCTATTAACTTATGTATGAGTGGGCGACAACCCATAGAAAGGCACTTATTTATTCATTACCAAAGAGAGACGTAGTTTACATTAGATTATAAGAGTATGCATAACCCAACGATCGGAGCATTATTCAGACAGACCCAAAATCCTAGTTACAACCAAATTACTAAACATATGGAAGTGTAGAATATCAAATTGTACTAAATAACTCAATAACATGTTTGGGGTCCACGGCCAAATATGTATGGCGATATATGATCAAGGGCATTTTGGCTTGCCCTTGGAGTTCTTGAGATCTCTGTAGCAAGGACACTCATGCTTGTTGCCATAAGTCCCAGAAGGCACGCAATTGCACTTTTCGCAGCAGATCCCACAGAACCTCAAACATCTGTCCTGTCTTCCAGCTTTCGAACATCTCTGCCCGCATTTGGAATCGCAGAACGCTAAATATATACATATATTAATCCACAACACAGCAGATCAGTGTATATGTAAACCGTTCTATGCAAAGGAAAAGAAAAATTAGAAATAACGAGTGAATTAAGGAGAGCTTGGCTTACGTGAACCAGCCATGGTGACCTCAATGAAAGAGGAACTCAGAACAAGGCAGGCCAGGAGGAGAGTTGCAAAGAGCAGCTTCATCTTGTTGCTTTATCCCAGAGACACTGTAACTGAGGATATGTTTGGAGTGTGATTGAGATTGGAGGAAGGAAGGAAGGAAGGAGACAGGTATTTATAGTAACGAGGAAGGGTTGGGTGAGAACTTAGGAAGATGTTACTGTTGGAGAATTTATTACTGACTAGTAACTTCACAGAGATGCAAGCGAGCGACAGCTGGCTAGGGAGGGCACGATGCGCCATTCTTATTGGCATATTGCCTGCCATATTGGTTGTATTGTATGGCTTGTTATTTGCTTTTAGCTAGGGGAGGTACGTACGTGGCATCTGCTCGTGGTTTCTCTGCCTTTGATCTGTCTTTCCACCTGGCGCCAACCGGATCTTCCATCCCCGTTTCTCCAAAACCCGCCGCTACGATGATCGATGATCGATGATCATCATACTAGAACGACCCGAGACAACCTTGCGCGTCAAGCTCCATCAAATCCGGACTCCCTCGTCTTTACGGCAAAGGCAATCCATTTCAAAGAAATAAAAACACCGTTTTGCATAATGTCATCTCGACAGTTTGCAAGTGCGAGAGTCATGAACATGGTTCTTGTGAGACAGCCCGGGATTCCCAGATAAAGTAGGAGAACCATGTACATGTGTATGTTTGATTCCATGATGCGGACGGATCATGCATGTACGTGTTCCTCAAAGTTATCAAAAAGGACAAGACAAAGCATGGTATTACGTTTAAACAGTGCAGTTAATAACCCTGTTTACAGCTATAGGAATGACTGGGCAAACAGTGTATGCTCTCAACTCTCCAATGAATCTTCTTTGTTTGTTTATTTATTTATTTATTTATTTTTTAACTCAACCACCCTCTATGTCAATCTCTTTCTGACGGATATGGGCTAATCTTAGTCGCGCCAATGGCAATGCTACTTTATGCCTTTTTCATCACAAAAAAGTTTCAGTTTGAATACTTCATGAAAAAGCAAGTGAGTCGAAGAAAGGGAAATTGGGAGATAAGGACGAGAGGTTGTGGAGAAGAGGAGTAGAGTAGGAGCGAGGAAGGTGAACAGCTGGCGTGGGAGGTAAGTTTGGGAATGGATGAGACCTGGCCTAGCAAGTTGCTTTTAGTTACGCGTAGGAACACTCTGGAATCTGGATTCTTATAGGAACAAGGGCAGAGAGAGTTGCCACCAAATGGGCCCATGGTCCCTCCTTTCTTTATTTTCATCATTACATCGCCATCATCCATATCATCTTATTCTACGTTCTTTTCTCGAGCGTTTTTGTGATTTTTTGAGGAAGTTGTTGGAATCTTTTTATTTTAAGGTCTGCATTATATAGAATTAACTAGTACTTTCTTGGTTTTATTCATAGGACAGATAGAAGATTAATCCTATTTATAAAACAATTTACTATTTTTTATGTTTATTTTTATATTTTTACCCTTATGAAATATCAAAAAAATTATTAAATTATTGTCCTTATTATAAAGGTAAAAACTCATTAACATTTAAAACAAAGTTCATGAGATTTAACATTTTTTTAATTTTGATACAACATGTTAAAAATGATTTACAAATAAGATTAGAGGAAGTAAACAAACTCAATCAATTACCAAACCTACGTCCATAATCATCTGATATTGGGTAATTATTGCTGCTCTTTATTAAACTGGTTCATTTAATTAAATAAATTATAGTAAGGGGTTGGGATGTTCAATTTGATTCTTCAAAAGCAAATCTTCCAAAACTCACGTACCAATTTTGGAATCAATATTTTTATTTTAGCTACTTCCGGGCCGGGGCAACTTTATTGTTTGCTTCAAGCTAAGTAAAACATATTATATATACGAGAGAGAGAGAGAGACATTTTAAAATCCATAATTTGTGTATTGATTATGAATCCCATATCACAGCCCAATATATAATTTACCCCTTCATTTTAAATTATAAGATATTTTTTTAAACTTTTGACAATTTAAAATATAAAACACTTTAATAAAAGTAAAATTTATTAATAATACTTTTTTAATATTACCTTTCTTATTATATTTTCTCTCCTTAATATTTGTTAAATGAATGGTATTTTTTTAAAATTTTATTTTTATTTTAAAAAATAAAATTATAAAGGGTATTTAATAAATTTTATTAATATATATAATTTTATTTAAAATTGTGTTATAATTTGAGACAAAAAGAATAATATTTTTTGATAGCCCAAAATCAAAAGCTCAAAATTAAATAAAGGAGCAGGTTCTTTCCGACTCCCCTCTTCCTGGTTTTTATCGTGGTTTCACGTGGAGGGCTGGAGGCCATGGACAGGTGAGTGATAAATTTAAAGAAAAGTAAAAAAAAAAAAAATTCCTGTCCTTATGAGGGCAAAATGAGAACCAGGAGGAGGGGAGTATGAGAGAATCACCTCCCTTTAAACAAGTGTTTTGTTGGATTTCTAGGCTCACGTACTTCTTCTAATTCTATTTATAGTTATTTTTAACATATTTTATTAAAATTAAAAAAATTAAATCTCATTAATTTTATATTAAAATTTAACAAGTTTTTTTCTTCATTCCTAATAAATATTTTTAAATTTCATTACTAATATTTTTATTTAAAGTATTTAATAAAAATAAAAATATAAATGGGAACATTGAAAATTAACAAATGTCCGATAAATAAAACTAAATCTTTTATTTTCTCTTTATTTTATAAATAGGATCAAAGGAATATTCCTGAGTATTAATCAAGCATGAAAGAATACGTCTTGTTGGGCTACAACCGAATTACATTGTTAACATAATGCATGATTAAGTAAAACTGGCTAGTTAATGATCTATCACCGCGTCAGTTTCAATGAATGAAGCTAATTAGTTATTAAATTCTCTTCAATATAAACAAGACGCGGAACCTGTACATCATACGTAAGCCTGAAAAATACGCCATAATATTCATGGCTTAAATGAACGGTGCAATTTCTTATATTATTATTATAACATATATATATATGTATATATAATTCATAAAAGGAGGAATAATACACATAGAAGGTATGACTGATTAACATTAATGTGTGTTCACTCTTACTGCGTATCACTGTATATATACCTCTGTTATATGTACCCAGTGTAGTCTATAGATGCCCCCAGTGTAGTCTATAGATGCAGGCATCTATAGCAAATCCAAAGCTTCTGACTGTTGATCTGATTATGATTATCGAGAATCTGATGAATGTTGATCACCACAATATTTTTAGTAGTTTTGTTTCGACTGCTATGTATTGTTTTTTACTCCTTCGATCCACTTGTTTGGTTGTTTTGGTTTATGACTTCAAAATTTTCAACTGCGGTGCTTAAGAAAAAAACAGAGGTAAAGTGTGGTTTAAGTGAAATCATGACCACTCTGTCATTGATTGTTCATTTGGATGTAATGTTGAGGATAAAATATTATAAGCGATCATGAACAATAATTGATGTTCTGCAGGGTATATCCAGTTGCTAAGCGACTTGTTCAAAAATCAGATGCTTGGAAAGGGAAGGGCGTACCTGGAACTGTATTGTTTTATTAGAACTCTGTAACAAGGTGAAGTGAGAATGTAAGTCTTCCACGAGAACACAGACACCTGTAACATTTATTATACATGATATATATAGATATGCATGCATGGAGAAAGACTGGGAGAGAGAAGAGCATAAATAATGCAAAAATGAAAAGGAATTTCATACGAGAATAATATAATACAATTTCGTACATTAAGCATATGTCTCACCCATTTTTTCTGTGCCAATTCTCATTGCTCAACATGTAGCGAGACTGTGACTACATAATTTTTTTTTTCGGTCCTAATCCGCCTACCAATTCATCGATCCTTTGCTATTACTCTTTACCTTTTCACACACTCAAGGGTTTGAGCTACAATCATGCATGCAAGATGGAATAGTCAGCTCAATTCTATACAGCATTTCACATAAGAAAGAGAATTTCCTATCTGCACGCAGAAACACGCAAATACAGAACAACATAACGAGGCCTCAGGAATCACGAGAATACGTCATTTGGTGATAAAAAATAATTATCAGAAGACCAAAGCACAAAAATGTACCGAAAGAAAATGACATTATGGAAGGGGAAGAGGATTATGACTTGACTTAATTTCAAAATCAGAACTCAGGAGAATAACCCATTGGATTGTGATTAATTGACCCGCATCCTCGTCAGGCTGCCTTTCACTTCTGTTTTTGGTTCGCATATTGAAATTAAGGACAAAATAAAGCCAAAAGAAGTTCAGAAAAGAGAAAGTGGGAGCACAGAACGAAAGGTACGATTGATCAGGGAAAAAAAAAAAAAGAGGATCAGATTCAGAAGAGGGAGTTTTGGCTTCAACAGATGGCATGATTTGGAAAACACGTGCTTCTTCCTCACCAGTGCGTCATGGCACAATCAAGTCCCTGCAACTCAAGAGTCACAACGGCTTGTCTAAAGCCATTCCCAGGATTGACTAATTGTTCCCAGCGGCTCGACAACTACCAAGTTCGTACTGAAGAACCTTTCCTTCTTATTTGCGTTGGCCTCCGTTTCTTCTCCATCAGGCAGGCATTGGCCAAGGAAATGAGTTGGTGGTGGGGCGGAGCTATTGGTGCTATCAAGGCATGCATCTCCCAAATTTCCTCATTCTTTCTATCTCTAATTCTTGCGCCATCTCTGACTCGCTCTAAGCCTTTTGATGTCTCATTTTGCAGAAGAAATTAGATGAAGATGATGGTCGAAACATCCAAAGCGTGGCGCTGGTGATAGGCGTTACCGGTATCGTGGGTAACAGCTTGGCCGAGATTCTACCGCTGGGGGACACACCAGGAGGTCCATGGAAGGTTTACGGCGTTGCACGACGGCCCCGACCCAACTGGAACTCCGATCATCCCATTGAATACATCCAGTGCGATATTTTGGATCCAAACGAAACCCAAGCTAAGCTCTCCAAATTGACAGACGTCACCCACATCTTCTACGTGGCATGGGTCAACACGGCCGCGGAGCTCGAGGATTGCGAGGTCAATGGGGCTATGCTCAGGAACGTCCTGGGAGCAGTCATTCCAAACGCGCCGAAGCTCCGCCATTTATGCCTTCAGACTGGTGCCAAACACTACAAAGGCCCGTTTGGGTTATTCGGAAAGATCAAACCCCACGAGCCGCCTCACACCGAGGACATGCCACGACTCGACGGTCCCAATTTCTACTACACCCAGGAGGACATTCTGTTCCGAGAGGCGGCAAAGAAAGAGGGACTAAGCTGGTCCATTCATCGTCCTCGTGTGATATTTGGGTTTTCCCCATTCAGTTTGATGAACATGGTCGGCACACTGTGTGTGTACGCCACTATTTGCAAGCATGAGGGGGTCCCCTTGATATTTCCCGGTAGTAAAGCGGCGTGGGAGTCTTTTTCTGCAGCTTCCGACGCAGACTTGATAGCAGAGCAGCAGATATGGGCAGCGGTAGAACCTAATGCGAAAAACGAAGCGTTTAATTGCAGCAATGGGGATTTATTCAGGTGGAAGCATTTGTGGAAGGTGTTGGCTGACCAGTTTGGGATAGAGAATTACGGGTTCGAGGAGGGTTGGAATTTGAGGTGGACGGAGAGGATGAGGGGAAAAGGAGCAGTGTGGGACGAGATCGTTGAGAAGTACGAGCTTCAGCCATCGAAGTTGGAAGAGATTGGTCAATGGTGGTTTGTGGAGACTGTGTTGGCAGAGGAGCCCTTGATTGATAGCATGAACAAAGCCAAAGAGCATGGCTTCTTAGGATTCAGGAGCACCAAGAATTCCTTTCAGCATTGGATAGACAAGACCAAAGCTTACAAAATTGTCCCCAAAGTTATGAATTAGTGTTTTTGTTTAATTTTCACTCGTTCTCTGATGGGGTCTTGTTGCATTATATATATTCATTCTGATAACTTTGTGAAATTCTTATGTTAAGCAATTCACGAGGAAATTTATTAGATTTTGCAGGGACACTATCACATGACCCAGTAAGTTAGCTGTGACAATGAAAGCTGAGATATTGGTGGAGAAACAAGAGGCATCTTTATATATAGTTACTTGTATATGCATGGCGTGCTTGTGTTCCATTGAGTTGACATGGAAGGTTTAATTAAGGGTCCATCTTTAGTTCTCATCACATGACTAACATCACATTGACGAGTAAGGGTGAGCAAATAATACTCAACTCATTGAACCCGCCTGCAACCGGATGAAATGGGTGGTTAAAACCTGCCTATTTAGAGAAACAAAAGGGGCAAGCTAATTTAACGAGTCAGCTCGTATTCAACGTAAACAAGCAGGACGAGTTAAAGGTTGCTCATCGGGCAGCCCGTCCGGCCCCATATAGTGGTATAGTTGTGTGTGTGTGTGTGTGTGTATAAATTCAAACATTGTGTTGCATATTACTCTCTCCCTCTAAAAAAAATCCTCGTTCAATTTGGAATTGCACTCGACTGCTCACTCTCATTATCAGTCATCATCGTTCACTCTCTTCTCTCCATTCCACTCCACCCATCATTGTCGACTCATCGCCCCTTATCCCTATTCAACACTTATCGCCAGATCTTCTTGTTTGAGTTGTCTCCCTCTTCTCGTCTAGCTTCAACCTTCGGTTCAAGTCCAACAATAGCTTCCCTGATCTTGTCTTGGCTTGTCTCCCTTGTCTCTCAAACTCATGGTGTTGAAACTCCCAATCACTGCTAGATTTGAAATCCAAAGCCCACTCTCACAACTTGGATTAGGAAAGTCATCTCCTTTACTAGTTCTCTACTCCTTTGTGAATGGCCAACATAATACTGGATCTAAACACCTAATTTGTGGCTTTTTTATTTTTTATTCTTTAGGATTTGACTTATTGTGATTCAAACTTGGACGCTTCAATTTTGAGAATAAATTAGTTAGAACTTAGATGCTTATCAGTATGTGGTTGTACGTTCTTTGGCTTGACAAGTAGAATAGACTGATTCAATTATCTCCACTCTTTCCTTTTTTATTTCCTCTTTTTTTTAGTGAGCACACAAATTGATATGATAATTTTTATTTGTTAATTTTTGTTTTCTTTGATTTTATTTGGACTTTTATGTTGAAATATACCATAAAAATTCATGTTAGATGATTTATTTCCTTTTTTTTTAAAAAGAACCCATGAAAATGGGCTAGTCTAACCCATTTTAGCTTGCCCGAGTTAGCTTAGCCTATTTTGGGATCAGCTAAAATGAGCTAAGTACAGGTATAGGTTAGCCTAGCTCATTTTAGTTAAGATTGTCCAGCTTATTATACACCTGTATTGATGAACATGATTTTTTATAATTGTGATGACATTTAAACTATCTAGAGTTTGATTTAGATAGTTTAAATTGAAAGTATTATTTTATATTTTTTATATTTATTAAAATAAAAAATTATAAAAAAATTTAAATACTATTTTATTATCAATTTCATCTTCAAAAACATTAGAGTTACCCCTCTTATTTGTATTAGATCTTCTCCCTAAGGATAGAAATTACACAAGGTAGACAAATTTGCATCATAATATGCATTTTGGTAGTTCAACATAACACCAAAGCACTGAACCCCAATATGCATTTGGAGTCTTAGTTTTGCTTGAGAATCAATCTACATTTGTTCTAGTACACATGACTAATATTCCAACAAGTGACTCGTCCATTACCCTTGAGTGCTAATGAGTAACCCACAAATGATGCAAATCTACAAGGCTAATGATGGCATCAACTGTAATAACATCAATGAAAGGTGTCATAACCGCTTTGATATACATGTCTTTCTCTTTTATTACCCTACTTAATTTTGTGCCTCTTAGAATCAATTGTAGCTCCTCTTTATTACATATGGTTCACCTTCTTTCCAAGCCGAATAATTTCAACATCCCTTGTAACATTCTACAATTTAAACCCCTGATTAGTTAAACTAAATGAGGGTAATAAGTAAATTAAATTGTTGTATAGTTAGAGGATGGTTTGAAAGGACTAATCTGCCTAATGGGTTGCAGTTACAACTCAAGGATAAAGTTTAAAGTAACGTCGGGTGATTTGGGCTCTGGAAAGGCAAGAAAAGTTCAGAACCCTTCTTGTCACACCATGCGCCACGACACACATTACCTGTGCCATAGTCACGACACAAAACAGGAGCTCCTTATTCTATGCCGTCCGCAGCAGTTCATGTTGCATGCGCCGTAGTACATAGGCAAAATTTTACATATATAAATCTACATTAGTGTAACATCCCAATTTAAATTTTAATAGTTAATTTGGGTTAATAGAAATTTTAAAAAAATATTTAGAGATAAGCAAATTGGTAGGAGATGATTATTAAATCTAACTTAGGATATAATTCTAAATTAAAATAAAAAAATTATTAATTAAAAATAATAATAAAAAAAATTATTAAATTATTGTTATTATAAAAAAAAGAAAAGGTATTAAGAAAAAGGAGGAAGAAGAAGAAGAACAAGATTGCTTTCGGCGGCCGTGTAATGATTACATGTAAAATAATAAAAAAAAAGAGGAAAGAAGAAATAATAAAAAAAAATAGGACCCACTGAATTTTTATAAACACTCACCTGTTTCCTTCGTTTCTTCATTCTTCCCTGTGCGCGAGCTGAGGCAGAGAGAGAGAGCGTCTGTGAGCGTGAGTCGCCGATGCGGAAGATCTAAATTTTTAAGGTAAGAGTTTTTAATAGGATATTTAGGATGTGATTTCAAGCTTTTCAAGATTAAATAAGTGTTCTAAAAAAATTTTAATCATCCTTCCTCTTTGGTTTCTGATTTTGTGGTGGTAGAAAATTTAAGATCTGGAAGAGGGATGAATTTATGTTGAATAAATATAGTTTTTGAGGTTGTTAATAGTATAATAAATGTTCTAGAGTATAAATTTGTTGATGATCTTTGAATTTGTGACTAATGGATCAAATTTTAGATTAGATTTTTATTAAATCTGAAAAATATATGTTGATTTATTGAGATTTAGATGATTATTTGGGATGAGAAATGAATTATTATGGCTATAAGATTATGATTCTAAGCTAGAGACTCAATTTTTAATTTTTGGGTATTTTAGGTGCGAATTTATAAAATAAAAAGAAAACTTTGATAATAGAAATTAGTTTAGGAGTTGACTTTTAGATTATTAATATTTATTGATAAGTAAAAGAGGAGTTAAAAATTTTACTTAATAGTATTGACTCTAGATTTGTATTAAGATTGAGATTAGGAATTATGTTATATTTTTAATTCTATTATTAGAATTATTTTATTAGTTTCAAAAATTAAAACTAATATTTATAAATAATATGTTATTTGTAGATTGTATTATTGGTGAAGATTGTGGTGGGAGAGAAATTATAAGGAATAATTTATTGAAAAAGCCACGAGGTAACCGTGCTTTTAATTTATGATTAGTGTTACTTCATGTTAATTGGGTGATTATTAAAAAAATTATGAATTTTGTAATATTGTATAATTGTGCAATATTATTATGAATTTGTTGATTATTGTGGGAGGTGTTAGGAGACTTGCTATTGTTGTTGTATTTATGTGCCACGTGGTACGCCCCTATTGGAGCTCAATAGGTGGCTTGTAAGGGCTCGGGCTAATCTACCTTTGGTCGGGTAATTTAGCACCGAGTGAGGGCTACGGCTCGAGGTTAATGGAGGGATATAAGGATGGTTATTTATCTGTATTGTAATATTTCTTATATTTGTTGAAATTATATTATTTTTAATTATCACTTAATAAGCACATACTTAACTGTTTGTATATACTATCATAAATTGGCTTTGGTTACTGGGACTTTTGAGTCTTATTATGTGGTTAACAATTTTCAGGAGAAGAGCCACGAGTGACACGTGGAGGAGTCCCAGAGGCTTAGTGGCATAGATCCACTGTCTCTTTTGGGTATTTGATTTATGATTTATAATGTGTTATATTGCCAATATTAGGACTTTTTGTTTATTGACAATTATATGAATATATAAATGTAATCATGCCTTTCAAACTATTTCTATTTTTGGTACACTTTGGATGACTGTAATTTTAATATTTGGTTTACTTTGGATTGGTTAAAATGGTATGATTATGAAGCCAAATAACTGGCTTGTTTTGAAAATTGACTAAATTATTTATTTTACTTGTTGGGAGTATAAGGATGGACAAATGTGATTTAGTTTACTTGTTGGGAGTATAAGGATGGACAAATGTGATTTAGCCTAATGGCATGTGGGAGGTAAAAATTTAGCTGAAATGTTGTATTGTGCGAGTTGAAGCCAATTATAAAATATTTTTATATTAAAATTATTGATATAAAATATATTGGGTGGCTGTAACCCAACTATGGTTGAGTTAAATTATTTAAAAAAAAATTGGTGTGTTACAATTAGAATTAAAAAAAAGGGAAATAAAACAAAGAGTAAACAAAAAGCTTGAAGTTTACTATGTTAAGGCTTGTAGATTTGATGGTCTTGGAGTATTTTAAAGTCATTAAACACCAAATATAAGATTCCTAACTCTTTTTAATTGTCTTGTATAAGCTAGGGTTAGTTTAGGATAATGATTTCAAACTTTTAGAGCTGTGGATCTAAACCCATTGACTTAAATAGAGGTAATAAGAGTTGTTTAGTTTATTAAGAACTAGTAGTTATGGTTTATGAGTTTCGGTGATTAGAGGATAATAAATACCTAAAAATGACATTCAATTTGGCAATTGGAGTTTGTTTAATGTCATTAGTGGTGGCTTGGGAGCTTTGTGAAGTTAATTTGAGCTAAAGGAAGCCAATAAACTCTATAGGTATGTTTATATGAGAAGAATTGTAATTTTGGAAATCTTGAAAGTATTGAGTAAATGTTAGAAATTTTCTAGTAAGGATATTAATGATTGTTGATATGGCTTAATTATAGATTAACTATTATTGAAACCATTCGAGCTAATTGAAGCCTTAAAAGTGCTTGTTAGCGTGGGATAAGCTTTTAATCTCTTAAAAGTTTGGGATAATCAAATGAACATCTCATTTATGCATTTGTGCGTTGGTTGGTTATATAGTTTTTATTAATCAAATTGTGATATTTGAAATGTGTGTAATGTAAGTGCTTTATGCTACTTTGAAAATTAAGAGTATGTTTTCGAATATATGTAAATAATGCAAATATGACTTAAAATTATGTTTTAAATGATATTTGGCAAAATGACCTTGAATGGTTGAGAACTTGAATGCATGCATTGTAGGCTAGGGCTATGTGATAATGAATGTGATATGAACCTTGATTGTAATAAAGTGATTATTGGATTGTGTGAGAGGATATATATGGATGTGTATATGGATATGAAATGATTTGTGATATAATAAGGATTGATGATGATATAATGCATGATATTCATGATGATTTGATGCATGCTATAAGCGAAGTAATTGTACCTTGTATGATCATTTGTGGTGAGAGTTTGACACGTAATAAGGCCACCATTTAGAGCTCGATAGCTTGCCTCTGTTTATTTATTTATTGTTTCACTTGTTCTTTAAGGGACTGTTCTATTTATCCATTGAGGAACTCAAATTTAACTAATCTCCACTAGTTTATAAGGAGACTGGCTTAGGGGTATGGCACTTCATGGTTGTTAGTGGTAGGAAAAATTGTGACTCAAAAGTAAGTGTAGTAGCTTTAGTCAGGCATCTTCTCATAAGTAAAAGGCTTGAGTAGTTTGATTTTATGAACAAACTAACTAAATAGCCAATCGTCTTATATCAGAGATATCTAAAGGCTATAAGGATGGCATTGATTGTGCATAACATATTTTGGTCACATTGTTGGTATTATTACGGTCTCGCATCTTGTATGAGACATATGGTTGTTAGTACTGTGATCTTTATAAATGATATTATTTATGCCACATGTTTGCTAGTTTTGTGATTAGATGAACTATACTATTTTGAGTGTGTGAATTTATGATAGTTGAAAATGCCACTTGTATCAAGATAATTAATTAACATACATTTATATAGGCTAAATTAACATTGATTATTGAGTAGTTGTACTTACCCCCATTTTTTTAATATTGTAGGTGCTAGCTCATTAGGGCAAGACAGAGGGAAATAGCCTAAGGCATAGGTTCTTTTATCCTAACTTGTAAGCCTCAATATTTTGAGTATTATGTGTATGATTTTAATGATGTTGCTAACTAGGAGTATCATTATTTTGGTGATTACTTACATTATTTGTTAATTTGAGTTAAGTTGTGTATTTTAATTCTTAGGTTGTATGCATGATTAATTGTAATATCTAAATAGGGTTAAAATATTAGTGCAAGTATGATGTTGATGAAAAAAATTAATTGTAAAGGATTATTATTGCATTTCATAGTAAATTGGCTCCCCTTTCTGTTTTTGTAATTAAAGAGTTAAGTACTGAATTTTAATCTATGTGTTGTTAGAATGTTGTGGTGAATTGCATAAGTCACTTTTAGCCTATTGAGTATGTTTTCAAAAATGAATAAATTGATTTGAATGGTTGAATATTGTGATTGTTATTATGCCAAAAATCATATAAGACTTGACTAAACCTAACTTGGCTATAACGATGAATTTGAACTTGAAAAGTTCCATGTTGTAATTTTGTATTGAAATGAAAAGTTAGTAATGTAATGCTATTGTGATATGGAAAAGGTGAATTTAAAAGTTGACCTGAAAGATATGTGATGTGGAGATTATGTATGTAAGTTTTTAGAAAAAGAAGTATGTATGAAAATATTACATATGCTCGCATGGGTTAAAACGTGCTTGTAACCCATTAAGTCATTTATTTATGAAATAAGTGAGTATGTACATTAAATAATTATTTGGAAGAAGTTTGCCTAGAGAGAGGAGTAGGTAAAATATAGATGGTACTTATGGCCGTCTTTTGATACACGAAGGTTAGCCTTGTCTTATTATTTGTTAAAACATTGTCATATAATTTGTCGAAGGATTTAAACCTAGCTATCTTCATATATTTGTTGAGGAGTTTTTGAAATAAAATTAAGTGTAAGTCTTGCATGCTACATAGAGTCTATTAACAGAGTTTGTTAAAAGGAATCATCGTTAATCGCAAGTAAACATAGGCACATTATGAATTCATATTTTATATTACTATTAATTTTATAACAGGTATAACTAAACAAATTTTCTTGGTTGGCAAAAAAAAAAATATAACTTTTGGTTTTTACATTTTATTCTTATTTTGCTATAGATTCATATACTTTTTTTAATGTTCCGAGTTCTTACACTTTCATTCTTTGTGTTCTAAGTCCTTAAATGATAAAAATGATTAAAGTGTAGGGACCTTAAATGAATGTAAAATATTAAAAATAAAAGTGTAAAGATCCAAAATATTTAAAAAAATATAAAGATTTATAATAAAATATAAGTAAAGTGTAAGAATAAAAAATTATATTTTTTTTAAAAACAAACTAAACAGATCAAAAGAAAAAAGAAAACAGAAAAAGGGGGGTCAGGATCCGAACCCAATATCTAGAGTCTCTTTTATGTGGGTTGTCATCATGCACAGTTGCACACCACTTCCATTTTTATATATATAAAAAATATAATTTATTATTTTATTTTATTTATAAATAAAATTATATATCTCAATAAATATTTTTTATTATTTTTAAATTTTTTTATAAACCTATAATTTTTATTTACGAAAAAATACAATTTTATTTTAACTAAATATAAAAATATTTTAATTTAGTTTTTTTATTTCCAAACACTACTATTTTCTTAAACTGGACGTTGCAGTAATTTTCTCATTTGATAGACTTCAGTCGACTCTTCGATTTCCACCGGTGCCTTTGCTTGAGCCGTTTCACCGGAAAGAAATGGTTCTTACACATTTCACCGGCACTGGCGTTGGATTCGGTATACCTTAATTACCTGGGAGTTTCAGTTGTGGCGTTCTGGGTATCAAAATTTCTGTAAATTCCGAGTCTCTAGTTTCTATCTGATTGTGAATTTGCGTTTTCAGGTTTTGGAGCTGGTTGCGGTTTTGGTGTAGGATGGGGTTTCGGAGGTCTGTTTTCTTCCTGCTGTACTCAATTTCTAATTCAATTTCTCCTCTAGGTTTTTCGAGTTCGGAATAGGTCTGACACTCTTCTATCTATCCGTGTACAATAGCAATGCTTAAACTTCATCCTACAATATCGTAAACTCATATATCTGATAAATGCCGAGCTCAATGATTTCACAGATACGATGCATTCTTACGCCTATCAAGTGAACATCGTGCGAACTGTTATCACTCATCATGCCATGTTCTTCAGGCGATGCAGGCCACATTTTAAAGTTGTCACTTCAATATGAATTCCCTTTAAGTTATCCTAATTGTCTTCTCTAGCTTCCTCATACTCATGCTCTGCTATACTTTATCTCCCTTCTTTTCAGCGGTGACCATTCCACATCTATTGAACATTTTGGCTTCTAGCTATCTACCTTAGATATAAGCTACATTCTATTATGTTCACTTGGTACTCTCGAAAGTTACTTTCTCACACATTTTATATTAGCTTATTGGATATCATATCTGGATTTTTAAATTTGCTTGGATGTGAAAGAGCTTGAAGTCATGATTCGATCATAAAAGTCTTTCGTTCGTCTTTATATTGCATTTCGTTTAGCTGGCTTCTTCGCTAGAAACCTGGCTGAGTTATTAATTTTTTTTTTTTTCCACATGACTAGATGACATAAAACTATTTTGGGATCTTAAGATTTCTAGGCTAAATGTATAAAAATTGTCATTTTATGGACACTACTGCTAGACTTTACAAGTTGATTATCTTCACAGGATTCAAATAATGATGAATCTGTTAGAATCTAGATGGAACATCTATTTCTTTTTCTAGGCTATCATTGCTGCACTTTCACCTCTAATCTCCGAGTGACTGCTTAGCAGTCTCCATACTTTTATATTGCTGAGGTGTCCAGGTTGGCAAAAGGAGCATCCACTTCCTTCATAGTGTTAATTGAACCAATGAAAATGATGGCACCTTGCAATTGCATTCTTTGTTTTCCCTCTTACTGTCTTAAATGCGTCTAAATGTGATTGCTGAATTCCCTGTTCGTTTTTCCCCCTTGCATCAAAATCAGTTAAAACATTGCAGACGATTAGATTTTTTTTGTTTTTAATGACAAAACAAGTAGCGACATTTACCAATTTTGCTTCTGCATTCTCACCCAAATCAAGGCATAAAATGAGTCTGTTATCTATTATAATTTTAAATTTTATAATGGCAGCTGCTCCAATGTTCAAATGGTATTTTGCCCGTCAAGAAAACATAGCCTTTCTAATGTGATGCTTTTTTCCTGCTCCACAGGTATGCCATTGAACTTCTGGGTCTTGGTGCAGGTACGATGCCCATGATTTCTTGTGACTTTGATTTCCAAATTTATTGAGTACTAGAATTTATTCCTGTGCAGTACTCTACAGAGGAAGCTAAGATTTGGAGGGAAAATAATGCACATTTTACCAAGTAAATAGTAATTATGCAGTAACTTTGGTTCTAATTCTATATATATATACTATCTTCATTCAAAAATATAAGACATTTTTTGAAGAGTTGGATTTTAAAAAATATAAGGCATTTTTAGTTTTTTGAGATGTAATCATTGTCTTTTTTTCAAAGTGGCTTTATTGATGAATAACTTTATATTTATTGTAGGATATTTAATAGGAATAAATATGAAAAAATAGGGTTAATTTGAGAATAGGTAACTACTTTATTGAGATGTAAGATTTGGTTAAAAATATTTTACATTTTTGAACGGAGGGGAGTGTATATCAATGTCATACTATATATTACTAATTTTATGTATTAATCCTCATTTTTTACTTAAAGTAATTAAAAAAGGAAATATAATATTTTAACAAGTTCTTTTTTTTAAAAAATAGATAAATATGTTTTAAAATTTTATTTGAGAGACATAAAAGGGAAAAAAAATAAAAAAAAATCAATTAAAAACTTTATAACCACAATTCTCCATTTTTTAAAATTGAGGTCGCCAAAATTTAAAATCCCACCTCCCAATCATTTTTTTTTTATCCAAACAAATCATAAAAATTAATAGTTTAAACCTAAGATATCAGTGATGTATAATTTGCAAAGCGTCACCTTTGTTTCGACTACCATTTTCTCCTCCAACCTCAAATCTGGTTCTGCTCTTGCCTTTGATACTCATGGACTGCCTGGGGCATATTTTATGTGTCTTGAATTCGGCATGTCTCACTGGGACTGATGTGGATTGGTTTTTATTCTGAAGGTGGGGGCTGTGGGATCGGAGTAGGTCTTGGTTGGGGATTCGGCACTGCATTTGGTAGTCAGTATCGGTCATCAAGGGTCACATTTCAAGGAGTGGAATTCGACAGCAAGGAAAAAGGTATCAGCAACGAGTTCTCAAAGGGCAGTTCTCAAGTGAAATCTTCATGAAAGTATATATCAATACAAGTTATGAGAAAGCATTAGCGGCTCCCTACCCAAAGATAAACAGCTCCAGGATCTTAGTAGCTGCCAGAGTTGGCCTGCTTCTTTGTGCACCTCAGCCTTAAATGCTGTAATATTATGCACTCTCTTAGATACAATGTAAATGTGGCTGTATTTCCTTCGTGGTCCTTTTGAATGATTGCTTCACAGTTGCATAATCATAATAGGGTGCATTTGATGCCAGGATGGTTCAATCTCCTCTATTTTGTAGTTCCTTTTTGAAGCAATCTCATAATACCAGCGTGTAGTCATATATCCTAAGAGAGAGAGCAATTTCCAATAGGTAGTCATGGGCCCGGTTTATGATCACGGTCCGGGCATGATAAAATCATCTTGGGAGTTGAAATGAGGCATTCTATCGGATCGTGAAGAAGGCCCAAAGGTCCAAAACATGTCTACTATTAATAGGATAAACGAAGAGATTCCAAGGCATTTCTTGTTTCGTGGATGGAAAATTCATTAGTGCTGATAGACTCGATGCGCCAACGAGTCTGATTTTGACAGCTACAAGACCGTTGTGTTTGCGTTTTACTTGGATCATAAATTAAGGGCAAGAATCAGTCAAATGCTGCGTCTAGTTTGATTAGACGTTATGTTCGAAAGAGGATGCGTCAAGCAAATTAAATAAGCGGGCATGCTGAAAGGTTCAATATTTTCGTAAATTTGGGTATTACAATGGAAAGTAAAAGAAAATGGCAGGGAGGGCATATATATATATTTGGATGAACAAAACGCGGCAAAGCCCACAAGAAAGCTCCTTAAACAGTAACAACTCAAAATATTGCGTTACACCAAAACGAAAAGAACGAAATTGCAGACGGATGGTACAAGGAATATCGCCATTTTTTTTAATATTTATTACTTAACGAAATTAAGGATGGAAGGTCCTTTGTATTTTTTTTTATAGAATATAAGTCAAATTTATAAAAAGATAAAATGATCCGTACATAAAAAAACTTAACCTGTTGTCCTGATAAAATAAACACAACCAAATGAAAAACCACTATCATTAGTCCATAAGTAAACACAATAATTTGACCAACACCATAGTAAAGAACTGTTAAAAAAAACCAGAACAAACTCGCTTCATAAGAATTCTTTGCAGTTGCCTGCGACCATGAGTAGCGAGAAAATGTATTATCAAGGACATCGGTGCCTCCATGGGCATTGATTTGAGAGCAACACAGATATGTATTTTCATAGGATTGCATTGGAAGCTCCTTTGTAGTGATGACTGTTAATCATTAATTATGACTGTTTTTTAAACTAAACCGTTGAAAGATTGGATTCTGGGGAGCATTAATTCACGTGGCAGGGACCAACGCTGGATCCTTTGTTGGAAGCTACGAGATGCTCTAAGCAAGAGGCTGTTTGCGGAGGAATCTTTTAGACCCGAGAGACTTCTGTTCAAGTCGTTGTTGAATGTTGATCATACTGTTAAAGCTACGAAATTAATTCATCTATTCCACACTGTGCGTTAACTTTTTCTCCTGCTTTTTTCTTCCTGTTTGTGTTTTTCTATGTACTCTTTGAGCTATTTAGTGGGGTATGTTAATTGTTAAATTAAAATTTTCAAATATTATGACTCGACATATTAAATCACACAATCTAATAGGAGCTAAATATTTTGAAGAACAATACTATTCGCTAGTTGAATACATCACTTCAGCTTTCTATAATTTATTAATTGTATAAATATATAGATTGTTTTCATAAAATTAGATGTGGACTCATACAACTGCAGAGTTCGGGGAACGGATTAACGGATTATATAGCTTATTTTATTAATATTAAACGTAATGATTATTTTAACTGAAAAAATGGAATAGTGAACCCACGCAAGATACAATAATTAGACCATCCGACTATACAAATGAAATTTATCACAGAAGAACTAATACTGAAATTAAACAAAATTAGACCGCTATATTTTTTTTAATTGTTTGATAAATGAATGGAAAATAAATATAAAATTTATGAGACCCTTTTAATGATAAATTCTATTTAAATTTGTAAAGCTCACTTGAGAGAGAAATTACAAAAAATTCTATATATATCAGTCTCTATAAAATTGATTAAAAAAAAAGGATTTTAATTCAAATAAATCTGAGCAATACACGTGGCTTTCCTTCCTTGGATGGATATTAGGATGGGTTGAGACTCGAGAGAATCCGCCATTCCACGCCGCATGGCTTGTTTAAGAGGGTAGACTCACCGGTGGTCAACCTAACCAAGCATATCATCTGGGGGTAGCTGGGGCTTCCTGTAAAACCCATCTTCCACACTCCTTTCTCGCCTTACAAAACTCGGCTTCTTGCTTCTTGTTTTCCCAGTAACTGCTCTTCACTTCTCTCACCCTCATACTCCACACTTTGCCACTTTACCTCTCTCGGACTCTCACCGCTTGCTTCATTCCATGGGTCTAGACAAAGTTTACACCCTCTCCCAGGTTGCCCAACACAAATCCAACAGGGATTGCTGGGTGGTGGTGTATGGCAGAGTAAGAGCCCCTTCTCCCTCTCTCGCCTTGTTTCTTTTACACGCAGTGTTCATGTGGTTTGACTGGGTTTGAATTTGGCAGGTTTTGAACGTGACCAAGTTCTTGGAGGAACACCCAGGAGGGGATGATGTGCTGCTAGAAGTTGCAGGTAAGGATGCCACCAAAGAGTTTGATACTATTGGGCACAGTGAGGGAGCCAAAAATATGCTCTCCAAGTTCCAAGTGGGAGTACTGCAAGGTCACACAATCCAAGACCTAGGCGGTAAGGACGATGCAACCAACGAACCTGCCAAGAAAGAGATGAGTGCCTTTGTGATCAAAGACGACGCCACCCCCAAATTCAAGGCCATCTTTGACTTCTTTGTTCCTTTCTTGGCCGCTTCTCTCTATCTTGGTTACAAGTGCGTCACCCGATCAGACCAGATTGCTTAGGGAGCGCCATCGAGTTCTTCACATTTCTCAGTTCATGGTCAGGTTCATTAAGCAAGGGTTCGACTGTAGAATCGCGTGGTTCCTAGTCGCCAACTTCATGTTTAAGTTGTCTCCTCTATATTGTTTTCCTGTCAAATGTCTCCTTCGAAGCTATAGACTTGGGGAAATCAAGCAATTGCTTCGGTGCTTGTTATTAACAATCAAACATTTGCCATCCATTTAAGTCTCGCAAACTGTTAATTACACAGGTTAAGGGACAATCACGTCTTCACAAGCTAAAAAGAACCCACTTAAAAAGGTTAGTAAGGATGCGCGCGCGTACATGCTGGGCTAAATAAAAGCTTCGTGGGAATCGTTCCGAAGCATTACAATTACATCAGTATGCCAATTGTCATCTCTATCTTGCGATAGTACAAAAGAACTATATTCGTGGACAGCTTTGAAATTAAACAGGGAAAAATACAAGCAAAGCCAACCAAATTGGGAGGAAATAGTAGGGTGATAATTCCGCACACTAATCTCGAAGCACTTCAAAGGAATTTTGATGAATATTGACCCCGTTCGCGTGAGAATCAGAGAACCTCTCTCTCACCATAGATTATATTGACTAGTACCAACAGGTTCGCTATCCTCCATGCTGCCGCCAATTACAAACACATTGAAAATGTATCCAAATCTTCCCTCTAAACTGCTCGGAATGCTACTAAAACTGCAGAGATAACAGCAAGTGTAAGCCACAAAAATAAGTGTTTTGTTAAGAAAAACAAATTATTATTGATCAGAGAGTAGAAGAAAATTAAGATACTTGGAAGAACACACCCCATAGGCAATTGCGCTGAGTGTTTAGATTCCACAATCAAACATAGTGATAGTATGTCTGCCTTTCTTCCATGTTAGTGGCCTTTATTTCAAACAGTTACCAAGCAAGCACAGACCAAGTTGTATGAATAAAGCAGTTCAAAGAACATCAAATAAGAAGTATTGATAATTAAATATTTCACTGTAAAACATCAAATAAGAATTATTGATAATTAAATATTTCAATGCAAAACATTAAAAGAAGCAAAAGGAAGTACTAAGGGCCGGTCTGGTGGAAATTAATGGTTTCAATACTCAGTGGCTCTGCACTTATTCACTAGCAGTTATCCTTCAAAATTCAAATCTTCCTTCAGCATTGAAGTTCCTTCCTATACTTCGTGTAAAGAGTGTGGAATCAATGAAAGTCTCTACAACTACAAATACTTTATGGAAAGAGAATCAAAAAGCAGCACTGCCATTCTTTTCAAGCTGGAAGTGCTAGGAAGCAGGCACATTGAAGGTTTAGGAACCATACTTCAACCTCACAACCAAGGTCGTCAAAAGTGGCTCCTCTCTTGATAAGAGTTCCAACTTCAACTCCCTGAAAGCATAAACATCAGATTTCTAAGTCACCACACTGGTAGATCAATATCCTTCAAGCTCTCCCTTCTCCTTCAATTTCCACAGCTAGAGAAACTACAAGGGAGGTTTTCAGCAAAGAGTTAATCAAACAGATGAAGTGAGAATTTAGGAGCCCTTCAACATGTCCGAGCGGATGTTGGAGCCTGGAAGTGGGTAATATCCTTCCCTGGAAAGCAGTTCCTTTGCTTAGCAGATACGAAGGAACCCCCTTTGCCAAATTGCAAACAGGATCATCGAGGGAACCATAATTATTGCATACCAACACATCAAACAAAGCTCTACCTTTCTTTCCCCTCTCCAAATCTCCTTTCCCATGCTACCAAGCGGGCCTAAGTTCCACATTTCATGTACTTATTCCTCATGATTCTTATAGAATGCCTATTTCATAAACAGAGTTTAACAAATTGAAAGTTTTCTCATTTACATATATGAAATAAACAACAGCAACAAAGTCACAGAAGGCAGATGGACAGGCGGAAAGAATAAAAGAACAAACCAGAGCATTATGATGAAGGGAAGAAGATGTAAATCATTAACAAGAAGACAACAAAAATTATTGAATTAAGAAATACATAAGCACACAGATGCATAAACAAGTCACAATTCATTAAAGCCCAGCCTTCCCAAAATTAGACAAAATTGCAGCTGGCAAGATGCTAGCACATTGACATGTGTAGGCATGCAGCATTCACACCAACAAATGCAAGATGTAGAGCTTACCAATCAAGATAAGGGAAACAACCGTCCAGAAAAGTATTAGAAAAGGTCGACCATATTGCATTAGGTAATGGGACCTTTGAAGCTGCCTCTGTATAGCCCCATACCAACCATATAGTTGCTTGTCATAGCATTTATCGCAACTATCAAGGTAGCTCTTACTTCTTTCATAGCACGCACTTATGCCCTGCCAGAATAATAAAAACCATAGCACACTGATTCAACAAAAGTATTAGAGAAACACTCAAAAAAGAGATAACCATAACAGACTTAGAGCGCACCCTGTTCAATTCTGACGATGGCAGCAATGTACTATCAGCTCCTTGATTATTTTCTGTAGCTTTCAGTTTTCTAAATGCATTCTTTGGCCACTTAATCTTAGAAACAGATTCCATGGAATTAAAAAATCCTGAAAAACTGGGAACCTTATGCACAGGACCAAAAGGTCCATTGGAAGAACCATGTGGTTGGACATCATCAGAAACTGCAATCTTCCAAGAACTAATATCAGCACTAGCACTAGCTATCCTGCGATGCCCATGTGAACTATCTTCCTTTGTTTCCAAGGCATTCCATTCAGATGAAAGTAGATTTTTTGAAATACAATCCAATTCTTTATGACTTGATTGTTTACGTTCACTGTCCCCACCTTTACATTTTGTAGGGGTTTTGCTTTCATCAGGTGGCATTCCTGAAAGAAATAGGGCAAGCTCGTTCCGCTCTCCTTCATTCAGATGCGCCCAAGGCAGAGGTACCTTGCCATCTGAGACAATGGATTCCTGCAAAGACTGCTCTACTTTTCTAACTTTTTCCTGAATAGCAGCAATAAAGTCACGGTGCCTATTCTGTGCTTCATTGCTTGAACTTTTGCCATTACTTGTACTAACTGCCTGTTCAAATTCCTCTAACTGCATTGCCAACCCAAAATGCGACCAGAATCATTATGATGGTAAATATACCAAGCAAATACTCCCTCTGGGCCTATTTATAAGAAACAAAACTATCATTTCTTTCCTATAAAGAAGCTGGTTAACTATCGTTTGCTTCTCATAAATATGACCCAGACGACTTTCACAATAAATCAAAGAGTTTTTCCCGGGGGGCGATTACCTGCCATTTTGCAGTGCCGAGAGAAGTTTGCAGATCTCTGAGGAGTTCCTCAGAGTCCCACCCAACGGAAGCATCTTTTTTGGCGTGAGTCCATTTCCGATAAGCAGATTCCATCCTTGAAAAGAAAATGATAGAAAATCAATAACAACAACATTCGAAGGACTAAAAATAAGCAGAATAAAACATTGGAACTCTGCGATATCTTTGTTGCCCAAAGAAAAAAAATCTGCGATAGAAATTGACAAAAATTAAACCACCAACTAAAACATAAAAACCTAGGCTTCCCATTTTCGGGGATCATAATAACAACAGCAATTAATTGAGGAATTTGCGAGGCGTAATAAATTCCTCTACGTAAGAAACAATCCAAGATACAATAAAACTTCTAGTTCTATATTTCCCTCGAAACTCCAAAAAAATCACAATCAAAAAATTACGTAACGAATATTAATCTATGATAGAGAACCCTAAGAAAGCCGACCCAAATGACGGAAAGGGTAGCAGCGATGATGATGGGTACCTGTCTGCAGATTCCTGAACCTCTTCAGCCGCCGTAAAGAAAGGATCTTTTTCCCATCGATCCAAACTCGACGCCATTACAAAACAAGGGGGTTGAATTTCGAACAATATTCAGAATAAACAGTAAGAAGGATAAATCCAGTATAAAAAAACCCTAGCCGATGAAATATTGGCTGCAATATCCTATCAAACTCGAGGCGACGATAAAACGAAGAAGATAGACAGGCGAGATCAGTCCCAATTAGTTGCAGGGGAGGGATACGGTGGTCGCGAGAAGAAATTAAAAGCAAGGTAATACCAGCGTCACAGCGGCCAACCACATCGTTTATAAATTTGTCTCTTTCGATTATTTTTGGTGATTGCAGTCAACGAGGTTTTCTCCTGGTTAAACCATGAAATGCAAGTACATCCGCACGCGCAATATTCATTTCATCTCACACTGCTACGGCGTCGTTTCTCAAATGCCGCCGAGGCAATGGTCAATCCTGTGTTAGCCCTTCTCCTTCCAAAGTTGACTCCCTTAATTCAAAAATTCGAAAAACCAAACTGAAAGGCAAAGCCTACTCGGTTTTGACTCAGAATCAAACAATAATGATCAGACTAAAATCAACGCGGATGGCTCCCCGTCCCCAGCTCTATATTTACACTCTATTTTTTTAGAATCTGAATCTAGAACTCGTGTTACTTTTATTTTTAAAAGAAAAATTCATTTGTAGGCATAAAATGGCTTGCTCCATTTGGAGATTAGATAAAAATATGCAATTTAAGAGTTCAATATCCCGTGTCTTTTTCTCTCAGAAGCTAACTTTACTTTCCAATTTTATTACTTCGCGTATTGAGGCTAGAAGTAAAAGAATACTGCGCGGGCAGAGTCAGATAAAATGGTTTCGAAATTAAAACAACAAAAAACAATTTTACCAAAAAAATAAATAACGAGAATGCGATTAATTCAGCGGCCCACGACAAAGGGATCAGCTTCCCTGGTCCTCATCCTTGAGACGAAGCTCATTCCTAAGATGAAATCTAAATCATTGAAATTTTAATCTAGATGGTTGAAATTTAAAATATTATTTATACTATATTTATTAAAATAAAAATTATAAAATAGTTTTAATAATTTTTTTAATTTGATATAGATTTAATTTAAATGATTCAATTTAATATTAAAATTTTTATAATTAAAATATATTACTTATTCATATTTTGTGATTCGGCTACTCATCCCATGGATGAGATCTTGGTCTAAATCTCAAGTATTATTTTATATTATATTTATAAAAATAAAAATTATAAAATAATTTTAATAATTTTTAGTTTTTAATATTAGATTTAATTTAGAAGATCTAATTTAATATTAAAAATTTTATAATTTATATATTTCCTCCATTAAAAAATGTAAGGCATTTTAATTTTTTTGAGGTGTAATTATTGCCTTTTTTTCAAAAGTATCCCTTTGATAGTGACTTTATATTTATTATATGGTATTTAATAGAGATAAATATAAAAAGATAGGATTAGTTTGAAAGTAGATAACTACTTTATTGGAACGAGATTCAGTTAAAAATGCCTTATATTTTTAAACGGAGGAAGTATATTGATTATCTAGATGTACTCTGTGTGTTCAGTTTCCTTATTCATCCCATAAATGAGCATCATGTGCTCATCTTTGGGATGAGATCTTGGTCCAGATTTTAAGTATTATTTTATATTATATTTATTAAAATAAAAATTATAAAATAATTTTAATAAATTTTTTACTTTTAAATTGGTTTAGATTTAATTTAGAGGATTTAATTTATATTAAAATTTTTATAATTGATATATATTGATTTATCTGGACTATGCATAACACATTTAGATAATCAATATACATCAATTATAAAAAATTTAATATTAAATTGAATCCTCTAAATTAAATTTAAACTAGATTAAAAATAAAAAATTTATTAAAATTATTTTATAATTTTTATAAATTTTTATTTTAATAAATATAATATAAAATTATATACTAATACTTTAAATCTGGATGAGATGTACAGGGAAATTAATTCCTGTATTCTGTACAGCCTAGATAATAGTATTTTAAATTTAAATCGTCCATGTTAAATTTAGATGATATAGATTTCATCCCAAAAATTCTTGAGATGAGCACGGGAACCACTTCCATAGAGAGCACGGGGATTGGAGAGTGATTATGAGAAACTTGGCGGAGGCAAGTCTTATAATCTGATATGGCAGGGTTTCTTCCGCAGGCTGACTGAAGTAGGGAACTCAGACATGAACGAGGGAGAGCAACTATGCGAGGCTGTGAAGAACGGCGACCCCGACAAGGTGAGGGAACTTATAGAATCCGGAGCCGATGTTACCTATTTCAACGCCGATGGTCTTTCTCCTCTTATGCAAGCGGCAAAGCTTGGCCACGCCGAATTGCTGAAGATCCTCCTCTCTGCTGGCGCCCCCTGGAATGCTCTTTCTCCTTCCAATCTCTCTGCCGGAGATTTCGCTATGCAGGAAGGCCACCAGGAGGCCTTCGAGGTCCTCCTCAATGCCGGTACGTTCCTTCTTTGCTTGTTTCCCTTTGCCCTTGTCTGCTTGGTCTTCTTTTCTTATCTCCCTGTCAAGTGTCAATACAAGTGTCAGCTAATCTTCAACTATAATTCATTCCATTAGGCTTAAAGGTCCACTTAGGAATGACGATGACTAATGTGACTTTCAAGAACTTCGGTAAAATGTTATACGCGTAGCTCTGCTTTGTAATAAATCATGATATCCAGCGAAATTAAATGGAGTACATGGTGTTGAAAACTTGACAGTCTGCTAAAAACTCACAACTTGAAGAAAGTGATGTACTTTTTTCCCTTTTTATTCTTTTTTTCCAAGTAGAAACTGATTGTCCACTCCATACAAAATTAAATGTCGAGATTGCGAAAAGAAACGGAGAAGAAGAAAGAATGGCTGTTCTGCCTGTTGTCAGGTGTAATGCCCATTCCTGTGGTAATCTTAGATACATTTGACTTCCTTAGACTGCTTATGCGTTTTAATCCCACATTTGGTTGCCTAGCTGACGTTTAGTTGTTTAAATTGTCCATAACATACACTTACGAAGTAGATGTTTGTTAGTTTATCTAAGGGTGTTTTGTAGGCCTTTGACTGTAGGACTGGAAAATGGAGTGAAAGAGGGGATGTGTGAAAATGAAGGATGCCTGTCTAACCATGCATTATGTCTAAATATATTGCCAAGTTTCAAATCTTTACCCCTTGACTCCTTCCAATTTCAATTCCACCACTCATACCCTGAGTATTTGTTGTCATTTTCATATAGTTACTAAGTTCTGCTTAATCAGGCATTCAAGCTGAGTTGATCCTGGGTACAATTGCAAGGAAAGAAAGGAAAAGCGCCAATTTTGATCAAGGTTATTTGGAGGATAGGGTAAGTTTTAGCGAAGATAAGCTGATGGACTCTAATAGCAAGGCTGTCATGATGGCTTGGGAGAAGCCATTGATGGAGGCTCATGCTAAAGCTATTTGTTCAGGAGGTGGTCACATACTGAATATTGGATTTGGAATGGGTCTTGTGGATACAGCAATTCAGCAATATGCACCTGTGATACACACCATTGTTGAGGCCCATCCAGAGGTTTATGAACGCATGCTTCGGACAGGATGGGGGCAGAAAGAAAATGTGAAGATAATTTTTGGTCGTTGGCAAGATGTTCTGACTCAGCTTGAAACATATGATGGTAACTGCAATTTTTGTTGGCAGTATTACGTCTTAGTAGCATACTCATGATTTTAGCTGATCGAATTGTATGTCTGGGACGATTAAATATCAGTATGACTAATGTTTTGTGAGGACTTTTATTTCTGAACATCATAATTGGTCACCAAAATATTATCAAGGAGCATCGGTTTTGCTATTAGGAATTAGGGAAGACATGAAGGTTTTTTTTTTTTTTTAATTAATACATATTTGTTTGTTTATAGTGCCTGTTGATCCTTTACTGAACTAATTTACCTCTTATTCTAAATCTTTGATAGGTTGATTTATCTGTATTTTCTTTAGGTATTTTCTTTGACACCTATGGGGAATATTATGAAGACTTGCGAGAGTTCCATCAACATCTTCCTGTTCTGTTGAAGCCTGGTGGAATCTACTCGTTCTTCAATGGCTTATGCGGAAGTAACGCCTTTTTCCATGTTGTTTACTGCCATTTGGTGTCTCTTGAACTTGAGAATTTGGGGTATTCCACACAATTAATTCCATTGCCTGTTAAGGATTGTTTGAGAGAAGAAGTTTGGGAAGGTGTGAAACATAAATATTGGCAACTCGATACGTACTACCTCCCTGTCTGTCAGTCTACTGCGGACTCTGAATGATGTTAGTTCTGTTTTTGTTTGTTGTTTTTAACGAATTACTTATTAGAATAGGTCTGAAATTCTCATGTCTTTGCTTGCATAGCCTGCCCATAATGGTGCTGTAGAATTCAGTTGAATCACAGCGGCCTGAATCACTGTTGTTAATGGGAAACTTCGTTGCCTTGAGTGTCTCAGACATTTCAGTTATAGCTTACCGTCGTGGGCATAGAACAGGCAAATGAATTGTAATACTAAAGATTCCATTTCACAAAAAAGAGTGATCTTGAGGGAGGAAACCTTAATTTTTGCATTAGAAGTTACTACTTCTGGTTAACTCTTACTGAGTGAAGATGGGAAATTCAAAGACACACACGTGAGAGCGCAGCCCTCTTCCTTCACTCCAGTAACGTGGGGTTAAGCACGGAGCAGCCAATCCTATTGGTTTTTCTCCTCTTATCTTAATTCAGATCATGGACCCGGTTTGGGTGTTCATAATTGTGATGAGATTTGGACTAATCTGGATGGTCCAAATTTAAACTATTATTATTATATTATATTTTTTAAAACAAATGAATTGTAATCCTATTGGTTTAGATTTAATTTAAAAGATTCAATTAAATATTAAAATTTTATAATTGATATATATTGATTATTTAGATATATTTTACAAAGTCTAGATTTAATCTATTGTTAATCTAGATTGTATAGAGTACATTTGAAATTTTGAATAGTTAATATATATTAAATATAAAATTTTTAGAAGTTTTTCACCTGGTAACCTTTATCCACGCCACCAAGAAATCCTTGCTCACATATCACGATCTTTCCCTTGACTTTCAAGGGAACTAAGTGTCCGCCTAGCAGTAAACAGAAGGGGGGCTGCTTACATTCCCTGCATAAAGAAGGGGCAATAGGGAACCAGGTAAGGGTTTGCAGCTGTAAAGAGAAGCTCCGGTGTAATTCTTCCCGTTTTCGAGGCCGACATAGGTTGGGAAGTCACGCTCTACGGTTCCAGTGCTAACGCAGGTTATCCATGCATTGCGCTGTA